GTTGTATCTCCAGATGATTGTGTAACACAGTTTTTGGTGTAAATCCAAAGTCACCTCTTCAAAGCAACAAGCTTCACGTCCTCCAGCTTTCATTAACATGATGAACAACAGAGGACATCATGAAACTGTGGCGGACATGTGAGAGCTTTTCCTCTCTGTTATATCACCAGACAACACACACAAAAAAACACACATCCTTTCCCAAAGACCAGACAGCATCTGTTGTTCAAACACTACGACTAGAGCTGATGTCATCTCGCTGTGCTTCTAGATGTGCTCTGGAACAGGCTGAATAACAGCGCTGTTGCTGACTGGCTGTGACCAGATGGCAGTAAAGACGCCACACAGGAGGACACGGAGACTGACTGTGATCCCAAAGTCTAGGCTGCAGGTTGAGCTGCTGAGTCTGGGGATGGTGTTTCTGCAGCGTTCAATGTGTCACCAGCATGTCAGCAGCTAAACTCGTTACTTACTCCTTTGCAGATGGACACGGCCTCCTTGGACATGGACTTGGGGTAGGACACGTTGTGCTCCATGATGGACTGGAAGAGCTCGTCCTCATCTTCTCCGTCGAACGGCGGCTGAAGGCGACAGACAGCGTTCAGGTGAGGGCAGCTGCTCAGGTGTGTTGTTACACCTGTAGGTGTTGTTATTTGGGTGATGGCTTCAGCCTGGATTCATCTAAGAGAAACATCTCCTACCAAACTGTTGCCTGGAAACTGGAAAACAAAACCTGCTTTTCTTCTCAAGTGTCTCCCGAGTCAGTAAAGTGCTGCTGCTTCCTGTATGACTGTATGATCACGTGAGCTGCTGACAGAGTTCATCTGTTCTAGACGTGTGAGACGAGCCTCATCTGTTCCTCTGATTTTAACACACAAAGGAACAATAATCATTTAATGACACTTTACAATGTGTGTCCAGCTGAAGATGATCTCCATCACTGGTCATCCCTCAGTTCTGTCCTCTGTGTCTCTTTTACGTCAACAAACATGAACAGAGTTTCAGCCGGTGATTATTTTCATACGCAGCTGATTTTTTAAATACATTCAGAGGAACTTATTAACTGTCATCGAAAATGTAAAAAGAGAAACTGTGAAATCTGGCTGACAGAGTGTCCTAGGTGTTGTAAAGGAGCCCTTTTGCATTATTTTTCTGATTTTAACACACAAAGGACTAAAATGATTTGATCAGTCCTTGATGACACTTTGCTGGACAGCTACGGATGATTGTCATTATGCATTAGAGTTCTACGGCTAACTGGCTGCCATTACTTTCGTGTATACGTACACGTAGTTCGGCGAATTAAATCACTATTACATCACGCCGCTCTGGGCGTCACCATAGCAACGTGCAAATCAGCTGGCGCAGATCAGCTGTGTCTTGACATGTGAATGAGAGAAACGCCATAAAACATGGATTTCGAGGTTCATTCTAATATTTTTGGCCGAAACAAAACGTATGAAAAACAGGAAGAGGAGGAGAGCAAACGAGAAGAAGAGCAAAAGCAACGACACAAAGGTTTACACCGTGGTCAGCAGAATTCTACAGCGAGCTGCAATATTTGCATAAAATAGTCCCAAAAACGTTTTAGCAAGTTCTATGAACTGAATACATATTTTGTGTGTTTGCTGGCTGTGTGGGACCACGGTCTAAGCAGATTAAACAGCTCAGAGCTGTGCACTATACGGTTTGAATATACGGTTTATGTTTTAGACTCATTCAAACCGTATAATGCGCGGCTCCTCGTTGTTTCATCCTTACTCAGCCTCTCAGTTATTTCTTCAACCAGTGGCTCCTTTCTGTCATTAACAGAGCCGCAATCAGCGATTACTTTCAACCAACGCAAGAAGTTCTTAGTCTTCTTAAAAAAATCTTAAAAAATAAATCTTCTATATATCAGGTTTTCTCGCTGCAGCGTGTGCTCTGTGTGTTTCTAAATGATTCCTGCACTGACTGCACACTTTTTCTTTTGGAGTGAAAACTACCCAACAGAGTTTCCTACAGATGAGGACGACACCTCGAAGCTGCTTGTTTTTATTAGACAAAGTTATTCAAAGCTGCTTGATGACACCATGAAGTGGTTCAAACTGTCGGTTGTCCTCAGATGTGTTCACACAAGAACACAAAATAAATCTGGAGGTGGCCTGCTGGTCCATGAGTTTAGCTCTCTTCTGTCACAATCTAATAACAGCATGAAATGTCCACAAGTTGAATTTATCTGAATTCTTTTACACTAAATATGTGCAGTCGTCCTCAGATGTGTTCACAGCCTCCCATTAGAGAAGGAAACCAGCAGCTTCAGTCACTGGAATCAGCTGAAACTGGCCAAAGTCATAATAAATAAACATCTAATGAACATCATGACGTTGCTTTGAATTGTGCTTCAACAGAAATCAAAGCAGCCTGATGGGAGCCGTGAACTAACATGTAGCTGAACAACCCTCTGAGCCAATCACTGCCATCAGGTGTTTCCTGTAGCTCTCAGTCAGACTTCTGCACCTGTTGACAGGTGTTCTGGACCACTGCTCATCAGCAAAGGCCTCTCATTGGTCCGCTGCTCATCAGCAAAGGCCTCTCATTGGTCCGCTGCTCATCAGCAAAGGCCTCTCATTGGTCCACTGCTCATCAGCAAAGGCCTCTCATTGGTCCACTGCTCATCAGCAAAGGCCTCTCATTGGTCCACCACAGTTTGTTTGTTTTTCTAAATTTTTCTTTTCAACCACAATTCAAACCAACGTCTTATTTCACTGAATTATAATTTAGCACATTTTTATTTATTACTACTTTTTCCAGTTTCTGGTTATCTGAGTGACGGTTGTGAGTTTTGGCCTTTCTTTAGTGGGAGGGGATGAATCGATGTGAGGACGACTGACCCAGTAAATGTAAAACCACGTTACCTGTCCCGCCAGCATCTCATACAGCAGCACTCCATACGCCCACCAGTCCACAGACTTCCCATACGGCTGGTACGCTATGATCTGACAAGGAGAGACAAGTCATGAACACAACACATGTGGGTAGCACAACACAAACATACATGAAACATCATGCACATCGTTCACCCTGATAGAAGAAGGACAGGAAGACGTGTGGCTTGTTTAAAAACCAAATGGGACAAAGAACAACGTGTCTGTCGGCGCTGAAACCTCTGAAGGAAGCAGCTGGAGCTCAAACTGAGGAGTCGCTTTATCAGGTGCTGCAGGTCATCGAGTTTGTAAGAAAGAAAGAAAGACTCGCTGCACTGTTCATCAGTAAACCTTCTGTAGGATATGAACAGACACAGCTGCCCAAAAGACACAGAACTTTCCTGCAGGTCACAGGGTCATGTAAATCAGCTCTGCAGACTTGGGGGAGCTGAAGCCAGGACAAGCAGAGCTCACTTAGGAATTCACTTATCACACCTATCAGAGCTTCAGAGGATCGAACACACAGAAGCTTTTAAGGGAAGACAAAGAAAAACATTCAACCACGCAGACCTTAGCAGATGGTCCAGATGGCCGGGTGCAATGAAGTGCCCCGGGCTTTAACGTATTGCTCTGCTGACCCCTCATGTCCTGTGGCATGCAACAACTGGACTTATGAAGATACAGCACCAGAGGATCTTAATGGGACGCTAATATCTGATATTAGTTTAAGTGTTGTTAAATGTTATGCTATATCATATTCTGATAAATACCCCAAAGCTTAATTACAGTTGGATAAGTCCTTCTTTAATTGATCAGCTTGTTATATAACCATATCCTGAGCATTGTGTTATCTCTGTAACCGTCAGAGACAGATTTATCATGTTTAGACTCCCCATGAAGCTCTACATGTGACACATTCATTTCCAACAAGCTTAGCTTTGTATAATTGAAAGTACATATAGTTCTGAAGGAACATTGTTACTTTCAGAGCAAAACTCATGACCACCTCATGACCTCCCGGTGATACTGGGGTGTCACATCTAACAGCCCCTCTGGGAGCGGAGCTCGCTGTGATTGGTCAGTAGGTTTACTATTAAAGTCTCTTCACCCGAAAGAGACTTTGTGAGACTTTCTGAGACTTTGTGAAGGCCATAGAATCTCCCACTTTGGTCCAATGTAGCGACTCCAACTGCCTGATCCAACTCAAGCTGAAGGCCTCGTCTCCCAGACGCTGCTGCGCCCACCAAGGAACTGCAGGCATCAAGCTTCTGTCTCTAAACAGGTGTTTTATGATTATAATTGGCCTTCTGACCAATATTCCAAATTTAACAGATTATCTGCTGCTTCAGGTGAAAAGACTTTTAAGTCTCCAGACCATCACTCTGTTCCACATCAGGTTTTCACACTCATACTCTCAACCAGCATTTTCATCATTGTTTGTATTTTATGTTTGTTGTTGTTTGTTTGTTTGTTTAGTTAGTAATAAATGTTGTGTGTTTGTATACAGTTGTTTCCTGTGTTTTCTATGGCTTACATCCAGTCACTTTACGTATGTGATCTTTAGTTACCTAA